CGCCGCCTCAGCCCGCGCCCTCGAGCGCCTGAGCCCGCCTGCCGGGTCCCAGTCTGGTCCAGGCCACAGGCCTCCGGGTCTTCTGAAGCCAGAACCTCCCTTCCGTCAGCGCGGCCCTAAGGTGCTCCGGCCTGGCTGCCGTCGGGGCCGCCGCGGGCCCCCTGGGGACAGACGGCCTGGTGCCAGGGAGCGTCACCGCCCACCTCCCCGCAGATCGACGGCTCCACCCTCCGGACCCTGTGTCTGCAGCACGGGCCCCTCATCACATTCCACCTGAGCCTGACGCAGGGCAGCGCCGTGGTCCGCTACAGCTCCAAGGAGGAGGCCGCCAAGGCCCAGAAGTCCCTGCACATGTACGTCTCTGCCGCCCCCGGGGCGGCCGGGGGGTCGCTGCGCCCGGGCCCAGGCGTGGGAGTCCGGGCTCTCGGGTTTCCGGGACCGCGGTGCTGGTGCTGGGCTCGTCCGCGGCCATCGCCTGCAGAAGCTGCCCTGTCCCCGTGTCCTGTTCTCACAGGTTCTGTCCCGCCGCCCCCTCCCCGGAGCAGGGCGTGGCCACAGCGGACTGGCTGGCCCCTGGCCTCCTTTCAGCCAGTCGTCCCCTCAGAAACCCTCCCCAAATACGGGGACTGCCTGGGGGGGGTGTTTGGGGAGGGACCCGGTTCACCCCTTAACAGGGTTTGTGGCGTGGCAGTTTCTTCTGCGGCCCCGTGGCCGTGGCCTCCCCGAGAGGGCCCCAGTCAGAGGGGCTGCTGTCACCATCACGTGACCGAGCCAGCAGGCTCAGCGCCCTCCCGGCTGGGCGCTCCCGCCCATGGAGTCATCGGCCTGTCGCTGGCGGTGTGACTCCGGATTTTCGGGGATTAGTCACCCTCTTCAGCCCGGGATTGAGTGTAATTACGTGTTCCCTGCCACTGCCGGGTCCAGCGGTGCGTTCACACACTCGCTTGGCGCCGTGCTCCGGGAGCCCGGGGCCGTGGCTGCTCTGGTGGCCTGTGACATGAGTCCTTGCCGCCTTTCCCCACTTTTCGGGGTGGCGTTTTGCTGGGTTGGAGGTGCCTGCCCGTGACACCGCGTAGGGCACTGGCCGCGCTCCTCTGCGTGTCTGTCTGCGGCGAGGACATGCCAGACCCCTGAGGGCGCCGGGGCTCCTGGCGATCGCTGTCCCCACCGGCCGTGACCAGCCCGCTCCCTGCCTCTGTGCTGCGGCCCCGGCCACGCTGATGTCACACGTGGCAGGGCGCCCCCTTTCCCACGGCAGAGTAACGTCCGCACGTCGTGACTGGGGCTGGCGCCCCACGACCCCCGTTGTTGGCGTGTCGGCGGCTCCCACGTCTCAGCTGTGTGAACAGTGTGAACGTGGGGGTACAGGCACGCAGACCCCGCTTTCGTCTCGTTAGGTGCGCATCCGGGGGCCGGCGGCTGGGCACAGGTGTAAGCGCGTCCTCTAGCTGCCTCGGGAGCCCTCGCCGGTGCTTTCGGCTGTGGGTCCTCAAGGCCGCTGTGGCTCGAGAGGAGCAGTCGGCGCCTTTCCCGCCTTCGTCCCTCGGTGCCTTCTTGGGAAAAACGTCTGTTCAGTGCCTCTGCCTGTTCTCACCACACTGGCTGGCGTCTGCTGTGTTGAATTGTGTGAGTTTTTCATGTGCTCGGGACAGGACCCCCCAGATCCGTGGCTCGCGGGTCTCTGCCACTCTTCCTGCTCTTCCATTTTGTCGAGTTTCTTTGGCCGCACAGGGGCTTTGTTTGAAGTTTGATATGTCCCACTTGTTGATTTGTGCTTTTGGTGCTTGTGTTTTTTGGTGCTGAAGAGTTTTATGATTTCACATCTTACGTTTTTAAATTTTTGAGCCATTTCGAGTAAGTTTTTGCAAGGGGCGCAAGAAGCACCGCCTGCTGGGCTTGCCCATTGCCTCGCCTGCCAGACAGCGGCTGACAGTACAGGTGTGAGTTTAAATCAGGTGTCTCAACTCACTGGCCTGCACGTCAGTCTGTTTTTCATGCTGGTTTTGATTACTGTAGCTCTGCAATATAGTTCCACAATGTAGTTTGAAATTAGAAAGTGTGAGAGGTCCAGCTTTGTTCTTCTTTCTCATGCTTGTTTTGATTATGTGGAATCTGGGGCCATGGACGTTTTAAGGTTCTTTTTTACTATCTCTGTGAATGACACCATTGGCATTTTGATAGTGATTGCAGTGAATCTGTAGATGACCTGATAGTCGTGTGTATATCTTTTTTTTTTTTTTTAAGATTTTGTATTTACTTATGCACACAAGAACTGTGATACAGATCAGAGGTACAGGGGATGAGAGGACTCCCCAGAGACAGAGTGGGGAGCAGAACTGGCAGATCCACTGAAACCCACTGAGAAGGGGGGAAGCGAGGAGACAGGAGGGTCTGCTACACCCTCTGGTCACTCCCTGGCCGGGGATCACACTCAGCTGCAGTGGCTGGCGATAGCCTGAGAGTGCTGAGACTTTAGCCCCCTGGGAGGCCCTAGTGCGCGTATCTTAACAGCACTCATCAGATTGTGGACACAGGGTGCCTTGTCGACTGTGTCTTCATTTTTTCCATCTGTCTTATAGTTTTCATTGTATAAACCTTTTTTAAGATTAAATTTTTAATATTTTAATTTTTTTAATGTTTTAAGTATGTTTTGATGCTACCATGAATGGACCCTTTGTCTGTCTTTTCCAGACATGTCTAGGGTATGTACGAGAGCACCGTGTCCCATGCAGTGGCCTTGCGCGTTGCCCATTGCTGGGTCCGTCGGTCACTCCAGTGGGGTCTTGGCGAGTCTGCCCTCTCCGAGGGCCGTGTCGTGGGCAAACACGGTCCCGTTGCTTTCTTTCCAGTCCGACGCGTCTCGCGCTGTGTCCCTGTGGTCTTGCTAGGACTTCCAGACTGTGTCACGCACGGATGGCGGGCGTGGGCCTCCCGGCCTTGAGCTCAGTGGGGCGCTGCGGTGGGCGTGCCGTGGCCGCGGGCGTGGGGTGTGTCCTCCACGTCCCGCGAGGGCTCCCGGCGGCGTGCAGCCAAGTGCGCCTTGTGTCTCTGAGGTGCCCGTGGGCCTTTGCCTTTCATCGTGAGCGTGGCGTCTGCCGGTGCGTGTGGCCACTCAGCCGCCGTGGCTCCCCGGACCTCGGCACGAGGGTCTTTCGGCGCGGTGGCCCCCGCTGACCGTGCTTTGCTGGGACTGCGGCGCGTGCACCAGCCAGGGTGCCAGGCCGGTCTGCTCTCCTGAGCCGCCCTCCTGGGTCTGAGCTCAGGGAGACGCGGGCTCGCAGGGCGAGTGGGGGCCCCGGCGTGGCAGTTGTTCGGAGTCGGGGAGGCGCCGGCGCCTGACCCGCCAAGGGCTTCGCGCCGGCGAGTCGCCGGTCCCAGCTGCTCCTGCGCCGGGCTCTGGTTCCTGCTTCCACCCCTTGGCATCGGTCTGTCCGGATGTTCCGTGTCTTCGTGACCCGGCCTTGGAAGTGGACCTTTCCGGGAAGTGCCCATTCTGCCAGGTGTCCCGCCCGTGGCACACAGCGGCTTCGCTGCCGCAGCCTCCTGACCCCACTTCTGCAGCGTCGGTTGTAAGGTCCCCGCCTCCGTTTCCGACGGGAGTCCTCTCTCTCCTCGTAGTCTAGCCAGAGGGTCGTCGGCTTGGCTGACCTTGAAGGAGAAGCCAGCTCAGCGTGTCGCTTTCCTGCTCTTTCAGGTGTGTTCTGGGCAACACTACCATCTTGGCCGAGTTCGCTGGCGAAGAAGAAGTGAATCGTTTCCTAGCCCAAGGCCAGGCGCTGCCGCCCAGCTCCAGCTGGCAGTCCAGCTCCGGGTCCGGCCAGGCGCGGCTGGGCGCCTCGGGCAGTTCCCACGGCCTGGTGCGGAGCGACGCCGGCCACTGGACCGCCCCGTGCCTGGCCGGCAAAGGGAGCAGTGACCTGCTGTGGGGTGGGGTCCCGCAGTACTCCAGCAGCCTGTGGGGCCCGCCCAGCACCGACGACGGCAGGGTGATCGGGAGCCCCACCCCGCTGAACACGCTGCTCCCGGGCGACCTTCTCAGCGGGGAGTCCATGTAGGCCCCGGGGCCCCGCGCCGCGGTCATCGGCACTCAGAAGCAGCAGCTGGCCCCGGCCAGCCCGGGCGCTGCCGAGGACCCCGCTGGCCCCGCTGGCCCCGCAGCCCCTCGGGTACCTCTGTCCAGTGCTGACGACGGACCTCGGCGCAGCCCTTGCGAACTGTCCCGGGGCAGTGCGGGCCGCCGCGGCGCCGTGGCACGATGACCGGACGCGCCCTCAGTTTCCCTTTGTGTCGTCGTGTGTCTGTACGGTGTGCTGTCGTTTGAGTTTTTGAGTATAAAAGCTGCTTAGAATAGTTTTATCATGAAGGGCACTTTTCAGACTGTGGGCTGCAGAGGGTTATTTTATCACGGGGGAGGGCGGGAGGGAGAGAGAAGCCTATTTGAAGCGAGCCTGTGACGATTATGCACATTACGAGGCGGCCGGCGCCCACCCTCGCCAGGCGGCGGCCGCCGGGCCGCCATGCACATCCCCGTTTCATGCTCCTCATGTCGTTTTTTTTATCCCAAAAGATATTTTTTAAAAGTTAGAAAAAGAGAGACATATCAAACATGCAAATACTTGAATCCAGCAGGCCAATAATGAAATGTGAACACTTTCGAAGTCGAGCTCACACTTCCAGGTCGCCATCGGACGCAGCAGCGGGCGCCGGGCGCCGCCAGCCCGAAGTGCGC